ATGTCTGCCTTCTCTTACCGTGGGACACGTCTGCCTGATGAATAGTGTCAAAGAAAACTTACCAAACAAAAGCCTGAGAACTAATTCAATGCGGACAACTAGCTTCAAGGTATGCATGTTGTAGGTTGTGTGTTGAATTCACCGTCTTACATGAAACTTTCCGCCCACACTAACGAAGGAGAAACTTTGTAAATAAGCTGAATAACGTGGCCATTTTCAGCCTCACTAAATAGTTTGTTCTCCATAAATTGAAGTCACAATAAGGATTGCTTTTGGCCTTTCCTTCAACAGGCACAAAATAATGCTCCTCATCAAGCATCGTTCACAGCATGTTAGCAGCTTAAACAAGATATCTTTAAATGGTCCGAGCTTGCTGAGCGATTTTTCTGCGGCGTAAACTGACATTTGGTTTACACTTGATACAAAACAAAAAGATGAGTGTTTGATGTCAAAAAGTTTCACACGTAGCGAAAGCAGGCAGAAGGGTTTTTCTAGGCTGATGAAATTTTGGTTTGCGAAAAATCACAACCCTATAAAACGCTTGTGTAAGGAGTCGGGAAGTGAATTTGTCACCAACTGTGTTAAAAGTGTTAAAAGTTTTGGAATGGAAAAGGGATCCATAACTTGAGAATTCCTAATCCCTGAAACAGAAAATCAAATAATGTCCAACTGGTGAACACTGTGTCAAATGCAAGGCATTTCGTTAAACTGAAGTTCAGGCAAGCAGACACTTCGTACACTGCGAGGTAGTTGTCGATCAGTGCCAATTTTGTCCCGTCTCCACTATCGTGTTTGGTTGAAGGAGAACCAGTAGTTCTTTACTGCTTGCTTTTACGTTTTCTTTTTTAAACTCCTGCTGAGTATCTTACGTTGAAGATGTAATTAGGTTAAATTATGAGTTTCTACATCCGCAACCAGTTGTTTTTGGGCTCCTATCCAAACGAAGATCGTCTGTATCTGGGAGACGTTTATGCACTTCCACCTATGGCACAAATAAGAGCCGCAACTGAGTTTCCTTTCGTAAGTTGTCGGTAAAATTAAGCAGGTTTCCAAGCACAGTTTTCTATCGGACGTTTGCTTCGTGACTAAAAACTAATAATTGTTATGGATCTTTTGAAAAGACATCCATAAGATTCGCTAAAAATATGTTTAACGTCGCCTGCTCTCTGATTCTGATTGATCCTGTTCTGAGTCATTTTTGCCGGTCATTTGTCCAGGCCATTGGGGAAATTTTTTTTTCGTCCGTAAAAAATGGATAAATAATAGCAGCGAACCCACGCTCAGGGTATCCACGGACATTTACAATCCAAGTTTTTTGAAATCTTTATATTCTGAAACGCTTACGTGCTTAGTACACCACTGTCGTGCATACACTGGCTTTGCACATTTTAACCGATCATGCTGAAACACCTAGCTCTCATATAAAACACATTTTTCTTTTGACGTTTAGGTGGTTGTGAGTCTTTTGTTGCAGCCAAAAAACCTATCGGGCACTTTTTGATTAAACTCTGTCCGGACTGGAATTATGCATCAATGCACTAAAGAGCTTGGAGGAAATGAAAAAGTGACATCCAGCTCGCTGTTTAGTTGGTGATTCCTGCATTCAGTTAACGTTAAAGTCTGGTCAATGACGGTCTGTGACGTTTCCGAGGTCAATTACAATTTCCTACTGAGTGACAAAAGATGTGCCAATTTGTGAGCTAGGTAAAGGCCTCTACTATGCATGGTACGAGTGGACCAGAAATTATTAAAACACCAAATGCCAAAAATAGTTTGGATATCAGGCCTTCCTTTTGAGCGTGTTTGTCTCACCCCATCATAAAAATTTGACCCAAATGGCATTCGTCATTATTTGGATGATTTGGTGAACCTTTCCATGTACTACAGACACTGTGAAGTCTAAGTGACACCACCTCATGGGTACGTTAAGCGACTTGTTCACCCAATATGCAAGGAGGACGAAACCCTCGCTTAGCGCCCTCAACAGGCTGTGAGAAAGACTGACATCGACCTCAGGCCCAACGCTTGAATTATTCATTATGCAACATTTTCGCCTTTAAGCGCAGCTTATTCAAACAGGAGGAGGATCATAGAGTCAAATAATAAAGGCGGGGAACTGAAAAATGATTAAAACATGCTCTCTTATTAAACAACAACACTTCTCAGTTTGGTCAGTCGTTGCACCGAATCGCTATTCTGCGACAACCTACATCAATTCATGATGCATGTTTAACGACCCGAGGAAAACATCTTTTATCACGCCGACTATAATAAGTAGCAGAACTTTGTCTTTTTATGGTTGAGTTTTACAATACACATTTCAAAATTCTGCCTACTGGATGAGGGTACACTTTGAAAGTCATAAGTGAAGAACTTTTCGTTTTCGAGGAGCTCATAACAGAAGAATTAGCTCTAAATCTGCCGGACATTATGTTGGCATATCTATTAATTTCAACTCATCTTCCAAGAAATCCTATTTGACAGTGGTTAAAAATCCCTGCCCCTAGGCCCCCTTGGCCTCACATGACCGGACACGCCACAATAAGTTAGATAGAGTTGAACAGGTAAACGATACCAAGGAACCGGAACATTTCATTCGACAAACCTGTCGAACAAATTGCCCCTCAGTTTATTTTTCCCCGGATTCAACAAGTTTGAAGCAAACTGACACTTTATGTTTTCATCACATTGATGACTTTCTAAATCCGACCGGATTTGAAAACCCTGGGATGCGTAGTGTATCTGAAAAATTTGTACTATCGAATGTGCCTAGGGACCAGTCAGGCCATATTGACTTATCCACAAGAATGTTAAAAAGGAAGCTTAAATCACAAACGCAGTTCTCATAAGCAAGGCATAATTCTGTCCAAACAAGGAACATAAAGATTGACATTCGTGTTGTACTATGATCAGACGAAACGCAAACAGTTTTGGAAAAACTTAGTTGCTTGGTTACACTTTGCAGAAGAACCCAGTCGCCATTCACATAGAAAATTCATTACAGCAAATATACGTTTGTTTAAACGCCCAGTTTTTCGCATGTCGTAACAAATTCCGGTAACATTGACGATGTGAAAACTTTCTAAGTTGGGCAAAAAAATCTGTAAACACGTTCTTGGCTGTACATCATTTCTCCCACCTTAGATTGGACTAAAGTCTTTCATCCCTTGAGGTTTCTTGCATATATTTTTCTCGCCACAGTAAAAAGCACGTCATTTTTAAAACCTGACGACTCCACTGTCTTTATCGTTGATTCACTTTGGAGAATGTACCAACACATAAGCACTTGTGAATCTGGGACAGTGCACACAATTCAAAAACGGGCCTAGTCCCATCTTCAGTGCGTTCTAGCGCAACGCGTCTAACAAAAGCTCCATTGTATTCTGCCTTCTGTACCAACTTCCACATTTTCAGCCCGGTTCTCTCCGTATTTACAAAAACCTAGTCACTTAATTTAAGCAGGACAGTAGAGCCATTTAGAGGACGGTAAACCGCAGAGCAGACAGACTGACGAAACCCGTTCTCAGAGTTTTTGTTGACTGAACAACCTGATTTGTCGAAGGGGGGGTGTCAAGAGTTGTGTTATTTCCGACATTGGGTTGTCACTGTACAGATTAACTGACAGTTTGCAACTAACCATCATTAATCCTAGTCGTAGTGTAATACCAAATGATAGTTTTATTATTCAGGAATAAACATATTTCGGGCCTTAATTGAAAGCAATTTAACGTGATACACAAATCCGTATTTCGTTAAACAAATTATCACGGTAACATAGAGATGAAACAATCATTCATATGAAATCGAATTAACCAGCAGCCAAAAATCAGTTGGGTTTGTAAACCGATAACATGGCTTATAACCTCGCTAATTTTGGGAAGGTTTTTCAACCTTTCAATTCAACTGAAAGCTTTATTATACTTTAGAGAATTGAGTTCAAAGAAAAGCATCAACCGTAACGTGAGACCATAAACATGAAGCGCTATAAAAAGATATCAGGAAAAATCATATCAAGGGATTTTTATAGACAAAACGGAGCGCGGTTGAATTAAGTGTTGTACAAAGTTTCGATTGCGGTGGGCAATAAATTAAATTAAAATAATTGTAGAAATCCATAGACAGATTTCCTCAAGGTAACGGAAACTTCGGATTACAACTTATTCCGCAACCATGTGTTGACTTTTTAACAGAAAGTTTTCGATGATCAGGATACTATGAAACCGGTAAAGCAGCATAAATTACCGAAGCCTAAGAGCAGAAACAGTAAAACTTGCTGAATTTGAATAATTTCACTCAGTGAACATAGGAACACATTGACAAAGAAATTGGACATTACCGCGATTTGTGGGTTTGTCCACATCCGAGACCCATTAGGCTATACATGAGCTATCCGTGTGGCACTCGCATATTCACTTATTCCAGTTTGGACAGTTGTGAGGGGTCTGACAAACACGGTCTCCTGGTTCTCCAGGTAAGCTATTTGAATATGTTTAGTGCTCAAGTTGTGTGCTGATTGTAGCCTGTTTTATGCAGTAGTGTCGTTAGCTGAAGAGAGTGCTGTTTCCTGTGTCCGCTTCAAATTGGCGGGGCCAACAATTTAGACAACTTTGGGCTGATAGAAGGGAATAATGAGAGTCTCAAACTATCTGGTTGTTTTTGGTATAACTCGCCTTCCAGAGTGCGAGCCGCGTGATACCCACAAGGATTGATGTAACTATCATTTTTGTTGCCTATTCCATTCATATTTTCTGACTGATTATCTAGGTATGTGGGAAGTATTGTAGTAAGCTTGCATAATTCACACTAATTTTACATCTACTTTATTCCTTTTTTCAAAATAATACCTTGGAATAAATCACGGTTCTACGGTGGTATCAGTATTGAACACTGAGGTCATGGTGTCAGTGATGGTAATAAGCCCACTCTAGAAGTTCGGCTTAGAAACTACTGGCTTATCATTATGATAGACCAAGTTGAACAAAGCCCGGAAAGCCACTCACCTGATGAATTTTGTTTATGCACCGACGTTCCATGATAGAGATCCTCAGGCGTAAAGGGGCAGCAGGACCTGTTTGAGACCCTGTGAAGTTATACTAAGCTGAATGATATGTACTCACCCATAAATTTTGGGATGTACTGTACCCTGTGTTGTCATAGTATTTTCGCAACACGCACAGAATGGATATGCTCCACCTTTTTGAATTTGGTAAAATCTGTTTTCTAAATAACTCTGAGCGTGCAATCACTACAAACTTAAGTAAAATTCGCCGCAGAAACCGCATATTCCGTCCTTCTTTGAATAACGGCTTTTATAGCTTGTGCATAGCGTCGTGTGTTGTTTACTAAACAGCAACAATTTTACGAGACAACCAAATTATAAGCAATGATGTAACAAGTTTAAAGCTGAAAATTTAGGGTAAACATCCCCGGGCAAAGATAATTCTGAATTCATGGTCACTATTTGCCAAAGGAATGAGTGGCTTTGAACCTTTGTAATTTTGTGCACGACTGCTTTTTTCTTTAAATACAAGGATGATGCTAACTTTCAACACCCTTGTCAAAAATATTTTCTTCAATGTGGCGGACAATTTACGGACACATTTAGAGTTGGAAGACTTTTTGGGTTTACCTGCAATCAACAGAGCCTATGATGCCTCCTTGTGTGTGAAATTATCTCACTTTTAATCCCAGACAGTTTCGTGGTCAAAAGACTGCAGTTCTGTTGGTTGAAATCCAAATCTATAACACTTGTCGCATTAACTGAAGGAATGGTGAAACAGTCAAAAATACAATACCGGCGCATGACACCAATTTCGATTTCTGCCTGGTGATTTGAAATTGTCGAGAACTACTGTCACATGAGGAAGAGGTGCTGTACCGTAAGGTTCTGACATACAAACAGTAAAATGGATTTAGATGAACACCAAAGCAAGCGTCCTGGTTATCGCCTCCATGCTGTGACGCAAACACAAGTTTTCACAGCTGGCGAACTAGACTTCGGTGGCATTCTTGGTTGGGCCATCATCATTACCATCGACGCATGACATCAGTGTTCAGCACCGATGCTTTACTGCACTACAACCATGATTAATTCGAAAGCCTTTATTATATAGAAAATGGTGGTACCTACACCTCCAGACATGCACTCAGGCAATCTGGATAGAAACTGACAACAAGAACGCCAATGACATCGGTTGGCAGCCTTCTATGCCTTCCAGGGTCTTGTGCTGTGCGTACAAATCAATTGGAAAACGCTCCAGCGTCAGATATGGACCCATTCAGCTCCTTCCAAAATGCTCAGAATTCAGCCTGTGGCACAGCCAAACCAGGCGCACATAAGCATAGGATACTTGACCAAAAGTTATCACTACCCAAATCTGATGGAAATATTCCAGTCGGTCCCGATACAAAGAGTTGTCAGATGTCAAGTGAAGGCGTGCGTGTCAGCAGGCCGTGAAATATGGTGGACACAGAAAGTCAAAGAAATGGGAGAGACCAGAATGTCGGTAACGCCCGAAGATTATTTCAGTTGATACATGCGACCGGTCCCTGGAAATCACCTTTGAGTTAAACCATCAAACATTTGAATGGAACAACCATATTGAATATAGAAGAACGCCTCAACAGGTGGGCTGAATACTTCGAACAACAGCTGGCATTATATAAAGCCCACAGGTGAAGTAGAACCCTAGAAAGGGGCGTGAAACCATCTACGGCCCCGGAGATTTACGACTGGATATAATCCCTCAAACGCCACCTAGCTACTGGTCCAGCTGACCTCACACCCGCACTGTTCAAAGGCAGGGATGGAGTCTTCAGTCAACGCTTGTCTGATCCGTTTGCTTGCATTTGGGAAAATGAGCCTGTCCCAGAAAATATTGAAGAGTCGGTGATAGTGGTTACCACAGGGGATCAGCTGTACCTCGGTTGTAACGAGACTGTTGTTGGCAATTTTGCTTCGTCGCCTTGGGGTGCCACTTGGGATACGTACTCGAAAGAAACAAGCGGAATTTCGGCGTGGTATGGGTCGTGTTGACCAAATCTCCAGACTTTTTAAGGTGCTAGAAAAACACCATACGTATAAGCGACCGACGATTCTAGAATTCTTGGATTTCCGATGCGCATTTGACTCGGCTGATCGGTCTGTTCTTGCTGACACGCTTGCCCCGGATGCTTTTAAACATAATACGTTTATTTGAATTCCCAGACCTCTGTACGTGTGAGAGTGTATGGGGGACAGCTAAAAGCTTTCGTACATAACGTGGTGTCTGTCAGGGATGCTCCACTGCCTCCATTCCTGGTTAACTTCTTGATCGATGAAATAATGAGACGAGCTCAGGAGGGCCCCTAGAAGCCCCGGTGTTAAATTAGCCTATGAAGGGAACCTCGCCGATGTGGTGTACTCAGACGACTATCTTCGAAGGAGAGAAAAAGGCGGAGGTGTTTTGGATGAACTGGACATAGTCATCCCGTCCTCTGGTATTCACCTTGCAACCAAATGGTGTAAGGTCAGAGTGATGCCCTCAGAGTGGAGTTACCCTGAATCTCAATGGACGTGTGTATCAAGCTACAGTACGGGTTGTTTTGTTGTATGGCTGTGAGATTTGACCTATTCGAGCCGTGAAATTGAAACACCTTCAGGGGTTAGACAATCGTTTTCTCAGAACCGTAGCTCGTGTAGGTTGGTGTCGGCAAATCTGTGACGAGGCAGTTAGAAAGCGTGCGTTCGGTTGTGCGACGGGGGAATTTCGCATCGTCAATATAAAGTTTTACATATTAACTTTTGGTTATCAAAATATTCAGTACCGCCTTGATTGTTCGAGCCACTCCTCCAAAAAACATTTGGAAATCCATTGTTTTCTTCCTTAAAACCTGAAAGCAGTTTTTAGATCCTAGCGCATCATGAATACCGTTTGATCACTGTTTCAGGCGGGTGAATGAACTGGAATGGTCTGAAGAATGCGACACCGGACCAACTCAGCACCATGAGCACATGGGCTCATCCGGATGAAAATATTTTTCCGAAAATCAGAGTTACTGTGCGGGTTTATTATATAGGATTAAGAAGTGAGTTGAAGCCTGGTTGCTTTGACAGGATTTCCATAATCGTGACAAATTCCGTGATACAGTGTCTGTTTGCAAACCAACAACAAACAGATCCCCTCCTGCTTTTTCCTACTTGCATTTTACTTGGAGATGAATTTAATTTAAAGTGACACAAATGCTTTATTTACCAATCTGTCTAACAATAATATACTGGGTGCAACAAAATGTCCGCAGAGTAGACTTCCGAAGTATTCAATGCCACGTTCTCTTATTGTCAGTTGGGCATCCCTGCGTGGGCACCAATAAATCCAAAATACTGCTCATTCCAGACCGTCATCACCAGGTGACTACCAAGAGAGATTTTTCCAATAAACTGTGAAATATAACAAAACAGCTACTATTTAGTGCTGATTATTAGAAACAAGCAACAACAGCAAAGTGCAGCTTTATAGTGAAGCAATATAAACAAGGCGACATAGAACATTTTCTGCAATTTTAATTAGATGGGTCCTAGAAAACAGCTTTAGACCATTGTGATTCCTGGAAGATACCTACTAAAGTGGTGATTATTGAAGTCAAGCTGAGCTAAGCAAAATTGCGACGGTCGTGCATTTAGGATACCTCCAGAAAAATAATTGCGAAATAAGTTCCCAAAAAATAACTAACTAAAGCTTCTGTTCACGTACTATCAGAATGCATCATGAGAAATTGCCTCAGCTGGCTGGTATTTATAAACAAACAGGGAACATCTATACGTACTGTCCGGATAGCAGCAAAAATCAACTGCCACTTCGTCATGCGCCTATTTCAGAACTTTTTTCAGATAAACTTAATTGACGTTCAAATACCATGCAGACAACGTTTACAATTTAATTTATGACTAAGCGAGTGGATAGTTTCATGATACTTGTCTAAACGCATCTTCAAAAACATGACACACGTCTGCAAAAGGCACATTTCTCAGGTAGCTGAAAACCAGCCATCCAAAAAAACCACCCGAATTCATCGTTTTGAATTGCACAGAGATGTTTGTCTATTTATTTATTTATGAATTTATGCACTTCTATAATAACAAATAATCAGAGGTCGGACTTTTGATTTTGAAAAGTAAATTTGATGATTTGTTCTGGTTGTGCTTACAGTAGCAACGCAAAAATGTTCAAATAACCAGTGATTACTGAAATTTCAAGAGCTTTGATTATCAAACGGTTAGTTCATAGGTAAGCATATTGAACCTTATCGCGTATATAAGGCATTCTTGTGACAAAAAAGTATAAAAAACTGAAATTTTCTAATAACTCATACCCTTTAGTGGGCTGAATGTACAGCTGAGGAAACGTAGGTTTTTGCGCCCTTAACTTCAAACAAGTTTATTGTTTTTTACATTGTTCTAGATGCCGGAAAACAAACGTGCTCCTTTGCTTTGTCTCTGGGGCGGTAGAAGTGGCTTTACTGCCATTATGTTTAAGGCGTCCGGAAAAACGGGTCTGAACCATACAAAGTATTCCTTATTTGTCTAAGTTTGCCTGGTGAAAAAACATCATTGGTGAACATTTCTCCATACAAAAGAAATCTGTGGATCTATTTGTCCAAACAAAAGGTCGGAAAGCTCTGCTTTTTTGACGGCAATGCATTTACGGAATAATTTAGACAGAAAGCAGAAAATGAAGAATGATCTTGGGAATGGTAGTGACAGCGAAATTCGATGCCTGACAGGATGACTTATATCAAGTGTTTATGTTGATATATCCCATTTCTTTCAACAGAGGACCGAGCGAAATTTTGTTTTTTCTTAAAATATTTTAAAAGCATATTGTTTATACTACCGTGTAGGTTGGTCGCAAACAACGGAGACAAACAAAAGGCAGTAAGCTTCCTTGTCAAGCAATGGGGATAAAGAGAACCAAACACTTTGGCATTCCCCTCGAGCACTATGCTGCAAAATATCGCTAAACGGCGAATTATTTGACCACATTTCCAATCCTGTGTTTAGGTTGCAATCCCAAACGTTTCACTTTAGACTTTCGGAGGTATCTCATTCAGCAGGGTCTTCTGAGTTTGTTTTGCGATGTGATCACATTTAAAAACCACAGGTTTTTTTAATAAATTATATTACGCAATATTTTCTGCCTCGCAACCCAAACATGATAGTCGTGCATCATTTCCTCGGACTTCAACACCTAAGGCAAATACTGAGGGTATTCGTTTACGTTAACAGTGGTTGCTATAGCAAGTTGAAAGCTTCTGGATTTGGTCTTCTCGTGGAGTTGCAGCCAAATAAATTCACTCAAGTTTGTAGAATACCCTTGATTACACCCACATTTTGACCTCAAACTCTTCACTTGAAGACAGCTGCACATAACCATAGCGATTTATGTATGCTCGAAATATACTATGGGTACTATGGATACTATGGGTACTATGGGTACTATGGGTACTATGGGTAGTCCGAAAGAGTCCACAGGTTCTTCCAGATTGGATTGTCTGTGGCATACTACTGAAATATTCTTACAAAATTGTACACATCTATTTAACTTGTCCTTTCAGTAAACATGTTCCGCACTATTTAAACACATTTATTGGTACCGAAGTACTCGTCACAAAGGTGTCGTTATTTCACAAAGATCTGTCAAACCAGTAGGAATCATCCAAAGGTCACAGTGGTCAAAAGCTGATTTCTATAACTCAGCTGTTTGAAATTACACAAAATAA